AAAGGGGGCAGGGTGGGGAGGGGGGCATGACTTACAGATGGGCCCTCCCCCACTCCCATACCTCTCATTTCTCTCTCCCTCTCACCCGCACTCTCTCTCTCTCTCTCTCTCTCTCTCTCTCTCTCTCTCTCTCTCTCTCTCCCTCTCCGCGCATAAGTTCCGTGGCACCGCTTCGCGAGCAGGGGTAGGGGGTACACAGAGCGCCCCCTGCAACACAGACAACCCTCTTAATGAGGCCTCGTGGTGCCGAATGTCTGTGTGTGTTGGGGGTTGGGGGGCGGCGGGGGTGCGTACAAGGGTTAGCAACCCCCTCGGGGCCCGCTGGCGAGGCCGGGGAAGGGGGCGCACGTGAGGGGGCGGGGCAGGGAATGGACTCGAGCAGATAAGACGGTACGCAGGGTGGTTCCGCCGGGCTGCGTCCGGAGCCGCGAGTCCTCGGCGGTCCTTGTCGCGCCCACGGTCTCCTGGTCCAGCGGATGCTGCTGCGCCGCCGCTGCTCCTTCAGACGGCGACCTGCTCGCTGGTCGCGTCTCTCCAGGGCGGCTCCGCAGGCCCCGCAGGGCGCAGGGCCCGCCATGCACGGGGGAGGAGCAGCGCGGGCCCTGGAGGAGTCGGAGGAGAGGGGAGGCAATCGTGATCGGACAGCAGATTTCTTGTGCGGTCTCATCCTGCTCGCCCCCCTCCCCGTGCCCTCTCGGGCCACTGAGCGCGCCTACAACTCCTGCCGCGCGCGCGCGCAGGCAACTTGTCCGCGCTCATCTGCGCTGCGGCCCGCCGCGCCCTTGGCCCCCGCCTCATCGTCGCGATCGGCTGGTCGGGCCGTCCGGTCCGTCTGGTCATTGACTCCCCCCGAGTCCTCCTGCTGACCATTTCGTCGTGCACCTTTTGGCGTGTCCTCTGAAACTTTGAAAGAGAGGAAAAAAAAGGTATAGCGGCTACGTGCAATCCGGTTTACCTGCATTACTTTGTCTTCTTTCTGAAAATAAATGAATAACCGGTTTCGAACCCGGTATATCGACCGGCGTGAGCTGTTCCGGCCTTACTCTGCGAGTCGTCCTTGTGTTGAGAGAGAGAGAGAGAGAGAGAGAGAGAGAGAGAGAGAGAGAGATTCAATAGAAGCAAGTTCATGCAAACGGAGCGAACTGCAAATTGGACCAAACTGTGCGATTGAGCGACAAAGACAAAGCGTCACAATCGGTGGAGTCAGGAAAGCCAGAGAGAGAGAAAGACCAGCAGCAGCGCTGTACAGAGCGACGAGCCGGATGCTGTAACACGATTGCACGACGGCCCAGCCTGCAGGAAATAACGGAGGCAGGAATGAAAGGAAAAAGAGGAGCAGAGGATAAAAATATATATTAAAACAAGGGTCTTTTTTTTCGTCACGGTATGCACAATAAATTTGTTCTCCCGCGCAACAAAGGGATGATCTTTCATATCCTTCCCAGCAGCGGCCGGACCGCCGTGTTTAATTAAACAGGTCCGCATTGTCGCGCGCCTCGTTGCGGAACGGTTATTGAGATCCGCAATAAACGGAACACCCCTTTCTGCGACGTTTTCATTTGCAAAGTGTCTGTGGTGCTTTCTTTCTTCCTTTTTTTAGCCGGCCCTTCTACCTTTTTAAGTTGTCGGCGTTGTATTCGGCCCATTTCAGAACTCAGCCACGCACCGGGTGTAACTGTGAATACGCAGCAGTGTTGCGGGTGTGCGTACTCTTTACACCCGTAAGGGGCCATGGCCCCTGCGGCCACATTGAGTACGCAATCCCGTAAGACTGCTTACGCCCGGTACGTTTCGTTTTTCTTGCGGTTTGCTCGCCCATTCGCAGCGCCCAGTGCAGGAGGAGGTGGCCGCCGGTCCACTGCATTCTGTGTGCTATGATACTGGCCGCGCCACGCCGCCGCACCTGCGCGTCTCCCCGCCCCGCCCGTCCCCGCCCGTCCCCGCCACCCCCGCTCTCTCCCGTCGGGATGGGGAGGGCTAGCGTGCCGTGTGGGGGCCCCGCCGCGCCCCGCACGCCCCACGGGGCCCCACCGCGGAACACCGTGGTGGGGGCTGACCCAGTGGGGGCTGGGCCCGGGGTCCGCGGGGGGGCGTGGTGCGCGGGGGCCGCCCTGGGCTTGTTACAAGAGCAGGGAAGACCTCCTGTGCTCTTCTACTCGCCTAGCCCCTTGCAGCTGCCGTCGCCCTCCCCCCATTCCCCCTCCAGGCGAACTGGCCGTTGCCTTGGCGACGCGAGACGCCTCGCGGCCTCCGCGGAGCCGGAGCGGAGCGGTGCGGATCCGCGAGGCTGTAAGGTTAGTCGGCCGGTCGGATAGGTGAGGCAGCTGCTCAGGGCGCGCACTCTAGACTCTTGACTCGGCCCGGCCGACCCTCTCTTAGCGTGCTATCTACATTGCCTGATCATACGTCCGGTGTGGTCTCTGCTACGGAGTGACATCTATTAACTGCAGCAACTGACTCGTGTTTTTTCTTCCGCTGTTGCAGGTGGACGAGGTCCGCGGCGTGGACACGACACGCGACCTGCTGGACGCCTCGGAAGAGGAGGCGTGAGGAATTGGGAGGACCTCCTGGAACGGATCCCCGGAAGGACTTCCCTCCACAAAGGAGTCCGCTGCAGTGTCTCTGAGACAAATTCAAGAAAAAATATAGACATCGAAGTCATGAGTCTGTATTTTGATGGTGTGTATTGGTCAGCTGTGAACTGAATAAAGACATTGTGTTTGGACGGTATTTTTTTCTGGGTGTTTGTGTGTGTCGTGTGTGCGTGTGTGTGATAAAAGTACGACTGGTGTGTGGTTGAGAAATTTGTTTTGGCCAAAAGAGAAGAATGTGTTACGTTAGTGTGTGTGTGTGTGTGTGTATGTGTTAATACTGTGAGCGATTAATGAGTATTTGAAATTAAAGTATTACGAATAATGTTGTTTTATATTAAAAATTGTGGGTGTAGGTACATACTGCCCGCTCTAAAGTCAGTTTTCCGAGGGCGCGGTCGCATCATTGGCATCATCTCATCTTGAATTCAAAACTCTGGTGCGACAGAGGGATTCTTTTACATCAAAACGTCCCTTGATTCGGGCACTTCGCCAAATGATGATGTCGATGCAAAATCGTTTGTACGAATCGGTTCGCACAAGCTGTGACTGTTGGCGGGAGGTACATCAGATCAGGGAGATAGATTACAACGCAAATAGATGTCAATCGACGATCTTCTGCTAAACTTCGAACAACTATTACTCTTCTTTTAATTAATTACGACATATCTATTGACTGAGTGCTAAGAATTGGCTGCAAAGACTATGTGACAGCATAATATGCGTTATGTAGCTCGTCGTAAGACGGCTTACTATGTGCCGTGCATCGATAT